TTCAATTCGTATTTAACCCATGTAAATTGTCAAAACAGAAACTTTTGAATTAAATTAGAAACCATTGGGAAGGTTGCCACATAATTGGGGATGAAAATCAGCATTGAAAATTTCAATATTGTAATATTATTTAAAGACTGATGCATTCAAATTTTTCTTTTCCTTCAAACTCCTATTTATTCCATTTCTTAGCACTTCCCTGACATCATGAAGAATCTGCTTCTGTGGCAAGGTTTCCTTGCTTAGTTGGGTTTGTATTTTGAATGATAAGATTTTTATTTTTACCCCCAAATTTGCCAAATAGAATTTGTGAACTTAGGTGTTTCAGACCTACAGTTTCTTCTGTAACATAACTGATTTTATCATCTATTATAGCATTTAGAAGAATAATAGGAAAACATATTTGGCATAATAATAGCTGTTAATGAAATTCCTAGAGGCAGACAAAGTATTTAGCCTTCTGGATTCCCAGAATTTTCTTCTTTTTACTCTTCCATTGGACAGAAATTCAAATGAAGATACATTATCATTTTCTACCAAATAGCACCTAAATCACACTGCCCTAATAACTTAAATATTTTCCTATTCAGTTCTTTAATATGTCAAATTATGCATATTTTAGGAGCTGGGCATGATGGCACCCACCTATAATCTCAACACTTGGGAGATAGAGACAGGAGACTCAGTTCAAGGTCAGCCTTGGCTGCATGACACTGTGTCTCTAAAAAATGCAGTTTTCATCTTACCTGGCATTAGCTGGAATGAATATTTATTTTAATTTTGGTCATTTTCTTTAGAAAAAGAGTTGGAACACATGCATTTTTATATAGAATAATCTTTATTTTTTATTACAGACATAAATCAAAAATAAAGTTTTTATGTACATATGATAAATAGTGCAAACACAAAAGGCTTTTAAATACGATGGGTAGACATGTTGTTGGAAAGAAAAGGAGATGAATGACATGACGGGGGTTAGGATGGTCGTCCTGGAACTGCAGGAGGGGGTCGCCTAGTAAAAACAAAACAAACAAAATAACAAAAAAGAAAATCACAGATGCAGAGGAAGGAAACAATGTTTAACTTATAAAACAAATCCAAATAATAGCATGCAAAAATATCCCACAAAAGTAAAATCAAGCAAAACCAAACCCAGGCAGGCATGCAGGGGAAATGAAAGCTTCCCACAGGGCAAAGTTAGGACTTCTTAGGACTCTCCCAGGCTACCAACAGCATGCTAGGTATGGGGCATTTGTGTCTGCCCAAAGATCTTGCACCTTGGAATGATAAATCCTTGCGATCAAATTTAGGAGATTTAGGAGTAAGCTTCTGAAAATCTCTACAGCTTGTGTTCTTCATTTCTGACTCTTATTTTATGATGCAAAATTATTTCCAAAGATTTAAGTGAATATTGTAAAATCTCTACAGGGGGAGAGGGAACTGATAAAGAAATGTGCAACTGAAATATTTTTTAAAATGAGAAGATTAGAAGGTGTCACAAGATTAAATGAGCACCATCATCTCAGTGCAGAAATCATCAGTGATTATTATTACAGCAATGGATTTGTAGCTAACAATTTGTTCCAGGTGAATAACTGTGGCCTATGATAGCTTGGAATCAAGGCTAGGGAAAATAAAAGTCCAGGACTGATTCTTGATGGCCCCAGCATTTGTAGGAATTCCCTCTACCCGAGAGGTAAGTGCAACTAAAATTCCAATTTATTCTGAAGTGGGTCCAAAGTCACTAGGCTCATCCATATATCCCTTGCCTGGCTTGTGTCTCATGAGGACCATGAATTGTGAAGTGCAGAGTTGTGCTTCATCTTGATATTAGCCTCTGGTGTTTGAAGGGAAGATGGTTGGCAGCTACAGAAGATATAATAACCTCTATACTGTAGTGAACAGCTTTGCAGTAGACAAACAGAAGGCTCAATAAAGACTGCCCAGGAGATTGCAGCAGAATTCTGCACTTTAATTCCCTCTTTCTAACTGAATCTCTATGAGCTTATGGCTAGCTGGAGAACTGTAAGGTTATCGCAAGCCTTACTCTTGGTGGGGCTTGGCTTTGTGCTACCTGTCCAGGTGTCCAACAACATACCCACTTCCGCCTGAATCATGAGATACTTCAGTGCGTGGAACAGTGGGGTCTGTAAAGAACAAACACACCACTTTTTTTTTAATCTTCTGTGAGATGTTAATGAGGCCAAACTAACTTGGCTCTTTTTGAACAGTGGTTAAAAAAAAATTTTTTTTTTGCCTTTCCAAAAGTCTAAAACCAATTTTTCTCCAATCCAATTTAAGCTGGCTACACTAAGGGGGACTCCTATCCATTTAAATGATGAAGAACTTGTTTTCAGTCCCTAACCTTTCAACTGTGGGGGGTCTCCAAGCCTTGGACTTTGTGAAACCCAGGTAATGGGTATCCCTGGTGTTTTCATGAAGAAAGTGTAATTAAATTTCTGTCAGGCTGAATGAGATTTATCACCTGCCTAGCAAACAGAAACTATTTTTGAGTTCTGAAGGGGCTTTAGAACATTTTAATTACCTCAGCAGGGTGGGGAGGTGAGCCATTAAATTGAACAGAAGTTCACAGTGCTGAAGGACATTCTGTGAGCAAATGCCAAAACACCTTCCCACTGGAGCTAGTTTGGTGTTCTCCAGAAACAAGATCAGACACTTTATGTCTGAAAATATATTTCCCTGACAGCTAGAAAGTTTGCTTCAAACACCAGGGTTGACATTCCCTCAGAAAGCTCCTTTCTCCTCATCTTCACTTATCCTGTATCTAACTTTCCTGTTGTTGCCAGAAAAGTACCTTTGACAAAGAATGGCAACGTGGTGGGTCAGGCAGTTCCACTGTGGATCTTGCTAGTTTGGTTTTTTGATATTTCATAGTTCTATATTATTTACACAGAGTGCTTGAAGGCAAGTGTTGAACATATATGGTCTTTACACATGTAAAACTACAAAGGTACTGGAGTACTGGATTGGAGTACTGAGCTACTAACAAATTTCAAAGTGCAACAAATGTATATTCATCAGTCATAGATCTATGTAATCGAGATTATAAGTTTAGGTTATAGTTTGTTAAATCTTCTGAAAGAGTAACTTGATAGATATGTTTTATGAAACATCTTCTAAAAGAAAGAGATGAGAAAAATTATTATTAAAACAATGAATGAGAATGATGAATTATATATATTCTCTTAGATCTGTCCTATTATTGTAATTTAGTCTGATGGTGACCTTGCTATGGAAAGAGCGTTGGGTATTTTTCCTCATATATTTTTTTCTTTTCTGTGAAAAATCTCACAAAATAAGCTCTGCTTGTTTTCTTTGTCCATCATTTAGGTAACTTAGTATCCCAGAACAGAGGGGTGAACCTAACTAAAGGCATGGGAAAGAAAGCAGGGAAAGACACCAGGAATGGGGTTTTCTTCAATTCTTCTATAATGTTCAGTTTTAAATCGACCTGGATCCATTCTTTCACAATCATCCCACAAAATAATAAAATGAATTCAATGCAGCTCTTTTTTTTGGAAAGGTAAAGAAATAAAGTAACAGAAGAAAGCAAGGTCTACCCAAGGTTTGTTAAGGCTCACTGCATGTGTGTATCTCTATTCTACTTTTGTGCCTCCTGTGCTTATAAGCTCTTCCTTCAGGGACTCAGACACTGTTGTCACAAAGCACCCAGTGCTTCTGAGGGTGTCCTGAGCTGGGTGTTCATCTCACTCTTACACCTGAACCTAAAGCTTGTTACAAAATCAGGAGATACACTTTTGGAATTTGCACTTTGAATTAAGGTTGTAATTTTAGTCAATATTTTTGACATATATTCTAATTATTATGTCACCACAGTATGAAGGAACACTAATAAATAAACCAAAATGTACAGTGCTGAGAATGTGTAGAAGAGAGGCAGGCTGGGTTTAATGAAACCAAACACCAGATGCATTTCTCCAAATACATTTGAAAGGATGCAGCAGAAAAATGAGAATCTTGAAAACAAATCAGAGATTTATACTGACGCTAGAATTGTTTTTAAAACACAAATGGATATTCACCAAATAATGGTAGGTAATACAGTCCTTTGCTTTTGGGGGTAGTCTTCCTTAGAATGTATCCTGAGTATTATCACCATATGCTAGAATCACACATTAAAACAAAACACAACTATACAGATGACTCATCTAGACTGTCTTCCAGGAGGATGCTTCCTTTGAAGGCATGGCAGCTCCACTCACGGGAAATGTATAGAGAAGGAAATTACAGCAGAAAAAGTGCATTAACACAGCAATCTGTCCAGTTTTGCTTTGAATTACTATCCAGGTCGAGCATGGAAAATAAACCAACGCCTCTCTCCTTTCATCTCCTTATCCTTTGCTTTTAGCTAGCACAGTTTGGGACTATGTATGTTGATAAGGAACCCATCATCAAAGCTCTTATAATGAAGAGTATTTATTATCTGGAAACTCAATTGGGAAAAGGTTGTGTGTAACTACTGGGTCCTCATATTTTCTTATTATGGAGAAAATGAAAAAGGTACATTTCCCCCCTCTTTGCCCAATGAGCAAGTAACAGAGGCCAGCTGTAGAGCTAGTCACCCAATGATTGCTATATGAAATGACTTCTGTTAACCTAACATTTAGGCAGAGCAGCCTTCTTCCTACTTCCTGGGGTTTTCCACAAATACTTCCTTTCCAGTGGCAAACTGCCACACTGCTTGTTGGCAGATGTCACACCATACATCTAGCTGTCTAAGGTTTAAATCCTAGACTCTTACTTCAGATGAGGGGAAAACATCTTTCCTTCCTTTGATTTGCCTAATTTGCTCTGTCTACATATCTTCTCCTTCCCCAACTTAATGGGGAATGCAGCATGTCATCATTCTTCATGTTGGTAATTCTGGGTCGTTTTGAGCAAAAAGGCAGTAAAAATTTACTCTGGGGTATTACTGAAATATACAGGCAAGAATGAGGAAGTGGGGGGGATCCTTCAAATGTAATAATTTATTTCAGTTTCAGAAACACAGTTTCACATTTTCACAATGAGACCTTCAAAGATGATACAGGCTTTAGGAATTCAAAAGTTCCATTCCTAGAATCCATATTGTCAGCATTTTAAGAAATCTCAAAAATGCCAAAAAGACAGTGGACAGTATTCTGGCTCATTAATTGAAGAATTAACAAAGAAGACAAGATTTCACTTTTATGTACTCATCATTCATAGAAAAGTAAAAGAGAAGTTTGATTCAGAACAGGGAAAGAAAGGGAACATATACATGTGAGCGAAACGAAAGTACATATGAAATAACGTATAAGGAACAGTGGTGGGGTTTCTGATTTGAGAGAAGTTATTTTCAAATATTCGCAGCAGTCAATATAGGACAGTAGCTTTTGTTATAATTTGAAAACATTACTTTATGACCAAAGTTGAAGGAACTTAAAGGGAAAGATTACAAAGAAATCAATGTCTGGAGGTGAGCCACATGTGAAACCCTTGATCAGTGAGGTGAGACTTCTCACCAATATACCAGTATGAACATGTCTTAAACAGGAGATTCTTTGAGGTTCCTGGCTCTCATTCTCACACGTACACATTCTTACATATATGCATATGTACACAAATAGCTGTGCATATACTATGTACATTTCAAAAATATTCTTATAGTTTCACATACAGAGCACTACATCATTTTAAACAACTTAACTAGATGGACTGACTAATATTATCTAGAAGACAGACTTGAGTTCTTTAGAAAGAACTGTTTGTTTGATCTGGTGAACTATTGATTATTTCTCTAAAAATGTCTGGCTTCATTCACATGAACTCTGAGCTCATAGCTGGTAGTCCTCTAGGTGAAATGATATAAAACTCATGGCTTCAGTCTTTATACATCATCATCTGTCACCAAGTTAGACATTTCAGAGACCCATTTGGGCTTTTATTCTTCATCCTAAGGAGATTCCTATCAATTTAAATTACACTGTTTATCAAATGCAATATTTTTGCTCAAAAGAGTAGATGACCTGCCTTAAAGGAACTAAGTAACCTATCCCCTGCACTGTTGACAATTTTACTCAGAAAAATCCATTCCTTTTATTGTGTTACTGAATATATATATATATATATATACCTTTTACCTTTCATGTAAAGAACAAATGACTATACTTAGCTTTTTAAGTTAGTTCAGGAATTCAATATATCATAATTCTTAACTAGAGACCTTGAAGAAAGGTTTTTCAGATCTCATAACCTTTTGTCAAACTACCACTAATGGTAATTCCTTCATAGGCAGCGATCCTGGGTGTTTCAATACAGATGTCTGTGGACATTATTTTATCATGGGTTTCACAAGCTTTGTGCCTCTGAGAATAATTCAGTATGCAGTTAGGAAATTTTTGTATGCCTCATGTATGTTATGCATATTATGGCAGATCTTCCCAACATATATCGTATGCTAGCATAATTTAAAAAATATGTTCATATTCTTACATACTGAACATGTTTACATTGATATTTATACCCATACATATACATGTATATACACAATGCACATACAATCACACTCATGCTTGTGACATTTTAACAGGTGCTTTTGAACCTACTTACTCAAAGGGACAGAAAATACATGTACTTACAGAAACAAATTTCCTCTGTATATCGTGTATTCACAGAAACATGCAGAGAAAATGAATACACAGAAAATGACAGCACTTGCACATACTGGTATTAGGTCCCATCTCACGTTATGACTACAGTCTATACCAAAACATCACAAAATTAATCTATGTGGCTACATTTTAATTCTAAATACAGAAGGCTTATATCACAGGTACTAGTTTTGTTATATTTTTGGATAGAATGAATTTGTATCTCAACAGTGAAATTGCCAATAAACAGGCCTACTGCTCTTCTATCTTATAAAACACACTAAAAGCAATATACTCAGAGGGACTGCTTGGTAGATGAGGTTTGGAACTGCAATACTACCTGTTCTAAATCAATACTGTTCAAAATCTGTCCACAATTGAGCAAATGGTTGGTCCAGTTATCCAACGTGCATGCGAGATTTAACATGTGAAAGTAAAACTAGATTTACTCATCGAACATGTACGGTTATTTTTTTCAACCCTAAACACACTGATTTTTTTCTTATTATGCTAGACAAGAAGAAGCTACATCTATTATGTTGGTAACATTAATCTGTTAGGAAGAAGTTGAGCAAGAGATTGAAACTTGGAATGGGAGCCAGAAAGCTCTTCAAGCTCTATTCCTGTCTTAAGGCCTGTGTGCACGCTGCCCCCACAAACTCCAGAGCTTCTGACTTCATTCATGTTGGTATCTTCTGTTAGCAGGATGTAAACCCTTCTAACTGCAGCAAACTGAAAATATTCTGGAATGACACTGCTGAAATTCCGGGTAGGGATGGTGGGGGGGGGGCAGGGGAAGGTGCTGGGTGACACCAAATAGATCATAGGAGTAAAACAGAACAAAACTGTACCAACAAAGGAGGACGACTGAGACAGTGTGTCTGTGGGACTGTCGTCCAAAAGCAAAAGCCAAAGATGACAGATGCCATTGTATATGACTGCCTAAAATCAGTGGAAAGAAACTTGGAAAAAAATCTCCAATTTTCTTTGACATTGGTTTGTGCTGATCCGAGAACACACCAGCGGTTTTCTGCAATATTTTCCCCTAACAGAAGGAAAAATTTGAAATACAGCAAAATGCAAAACCACAGTAAGTACAAAGCCAAACCCTGAAGTATATAATTTGTTAGCTGCCTATTTGAGAGTATTCAAAGGAAGAAGCAAAGGGAATCCTAAAAAGAGGACGTTTTGAGTGAAGATCTCGCTGCAGATTAGTTGGTTAACTATGAAGTTTTGCTTGACATTTTTTCCATTTAGTTGGGATACTGTTTTCAAATGTGCATCTTGTAGATGAGCTCCATTCACAAAGAGTTAAGTATTTTTCCAATGAAGAAAAAATGAAGATATGAGAAATGTTACAGTGGTAATGTTCTTTATCACTTATAACTTTAAAAATTGAAATGCTGTTTTTGTAAGTCTCATATTTTCTAATTTGTTCCAATTATAAATGGGCTGTAACCCATTAGAATAAGTTCAATAAAGTGCCATTTGACTTGGAAAATTCTTTTTCTTTTTTTTTTTTTTTTAATAATGGTTAAAGGTTTTTACTTCATAGTTTATGGGTATCTGCTTTGGGTATAAACTACACAGGAAATTAAAGTTAAGTTCTCATACAAATCATGTTTGCTGCTTTCAAGGGGAGGCACTGCAGTTAGTAAAAGCTGATTTACTTCTGTGGAATATGGAATGATACTGGACGCCACAATTCAGCAAATGCTTGCTCTGCTGTCTGGGAGCAGTTAGCAGACAGAATTCCATTTGGCTTCTGGCTCTTTCCTACATGTTAATCATCTGGTCATAGGTAGTTCAGAACTTAGCCTCAAGACTGAACTATTAACCTCCAGGCCAAACTGCTCTTGTAAATTCTAGAAATCCTAGAAATTGCAAATCTGTTTTGCAGCCTAGCAGTTCAAAGCCATTTTCGGGAGCAACCTGGCACAGTGCATCTGTAAACGTGTGAGCTGTGCTCTTAAACCATGGCATCTCTGACAACTTTCCTTTCTATTTCAGGGACCATTCTTTCAATCTAATTAGGTCATGTTAATTCTCAGGATTTAAAAAAGTCTAGAATGGATAGAAACTTGCACTAAATGAGTCTTAAAGGGATTCTTATATAATTATTTATATGTAAACAATATGAATTGCATATTAGCATAGATTTATTTTTGCTCCAGCCAAGATAATAGTAATAATTAACTGGAGTTAGTATGAAAGTACAGTTATCCAGGTCAGAAAATAAGATCAACTTGAAAAATTAAATATTTTCCTATGCTGCCTTCCTTCACCATATCCTACAAAGGAGTGAATATATAAGCTAATGAATTCTATTTTCCCAGTTGCTTTGAGAATGGTGGGATTTTGCTTCTTCCTTAAACTCTGAAACTAGCCAAGTCTATCAGCTGATTACCAGAACACCCACGCTTTACTGCCCTGCTGTGTGTGCTTCCAGCATGAGCTTCAGCACACTGGCAGAAAGAGAAGCTTGCTAGCAAGCGGTGCAGACTTTGCCTTTGCAAACTACCCTGTGCTCCTTGAAAAGTTTTCATCTTGGGGAATCCTAATTTTAAAATATCACTTCCTAGCAGTCTTATTAAATAAAGAAGGAAAAGGAACTAAATATATAATTATGGAGTAGGTGATAGTGTTAGTTAATAACAGACGACAGAATTTCTGCCACCCTAAACAGGATGTGGGGGAAGAGATGTTCAGCTTTAAACTATCATAGCTGTTAAGAAATCTTTCTTACGAACTTCTTTGTAGATAGCCTGGAAAAGTCTTTCAAAGTAAATTTAAATATATGCTGGGTAGATAAATGGTTTCAAAGCATAGGACTGCTATACAAAACTACCTTGGTCAGTACAACATACTAATCCTCTATAGGTTAGCAGTTTTTAAGAGTCAAACCCAAAGGTCTGATGTACCATGAGCAATGAAGATGAGCGATGAATGTATTAGTAAAACTGGTTACTTGCCTATTGGTGTTCATACATGCGGCTACTCATGGTTTACTGCAGTGGTTACCAAATATGCTGCTTTCACACAAATTAGCGATTAACTGCCATGCTAGACACTTCATTTAGTCTAACAGGGAGGATTCTAGTGAACGGATTATAGTGGGACGAGTTGGTGATGGGGGTGGTCTCCGGCTAGAAAGAGAGAAAGAGACAGGTAAAGAATCAAGTAGAACAGCCAAGTTGCACTTCAGGATGCTGACAAAAAGCCATCATGCACATGCACATGCAATTCAGGACAGCAGGAGTGGTTGTAGTCAGTAATGATTTCAAGATTGTCACTTTTGAGCCATTTAGCCATTCTCTTTCTCCCTCTGCCAGGATGTCAGTTACCACCTCCCATTTCCTTTAGCAGTGACTTTCCCCAGTTGTACTCTGTTTCTATTGCAGACCCAGACACTCAGGCATCAAGGTGTTTAAGAGTTTTCTGCAATGATTGTGAATATTTGGGGGTTTTTCAGGATTCATCGGTATTTGTAGCAGTATTAATAGATCATTTCAACATTAAGTCATGAAGAGTTCCTTTTACCTCCTATATCTGAAAAGTGGCTCAGAAAATTTCATGTAAGCCTTTTTTCTGCAGTGGTATATTCCAGTTTAACATACTCTACTAGTTTTACTATTAAACACTGAATTTTCAAAAGGATCTTAGAGATACTTATCAGCAGAGTAAACAAAACTAAATCAGCCAGTGCTAACTAGTTTAGTAAACAAGTCCTGCAGAAAGTCTTCTGTGATCATCTGAACTGTTCGGCAGTTTTTCCACTGGGAGGAAAATCCTCATAATTTCCTTCTTATGGCAATGCAGAAATAATTTCTCTTTTGTTAATATATTCTTCATTGTTTAAGATGATCAACCCTATTTTTTAACTTTTAGTCCAAGTCTTCAACCTGCATCAATTTCTCTTTTATGGAGAGGTCAAAAGTCATACTTAACTTGTGCCATTTAGTACTTAGCATGGTGTTACATGCAATGAATTTTCTTCATCTTTCCAGATATATGTCAGTGAAGTGAGCCTTCTCTGACCTACTTTCTCCTTCTTGATACAGTTGCTTCTATGACTGTGTGGTTATTCACCACACTGAATTCTAATTGAGTTCATGTGCTTATCTTTACTGATTAGAAACATCACTCATCTTTATATCCCTGCAATGCCTAATCTTCTGCTCACCATCCAGTTAGTGTTTGATAACTGAATAAGTAAAAATTCACCCTGGAAAGAAGAAATAAGTGATGAATACTTATGATGCTTATTAGTTTTATCCTAATAACAATGGTGTTTGCTGGCAAATCATGACTGTGGCCCAAATTTTATTTCACTTTAAAATTTTAATTATTTTTAATGGTGTATGCATGGGATGGGGCTTGAGACTTGGAAATGTTACCTATGAAGTATTTGATTGTTCATTTTTTTGTGGGAGTCTGCAATAGTACTAAATAGTAGCCCTTTTATCCTCAAGAAGTTTGACAAATAAGTAACTTACAGAGATGTAGTCTTTGCAATTAAACAGTATGGGGTGGGAATAGACAGGCAGGATTTGAACTCGAAGGAGGGAAACACTACCAGAGGGTTCAATAATACACTTAATTAGGGAACAAGTGGAAGTCAGAGTATGAATTCAGTGAGAAGAATACAGAATAGAATGGTGGGTGGGAAATTGTCTTATGTAAAATGATAAATTACACCAAGGCTTATAACCAAGTGAGACAGGAATGTAATGGGTTCTCTGGTGATCCTTTTGTTCTTGGTTTAAATGTCATGCTTCAGTTCTTCTGGGCCATCTCATAGTCCTCTACCCTCACCTTCCAACACTTTATCGCCTGGACACTCAATAGATTTAAAGTTCCTGGAGAACAGAGAGTGCACATGCGGCATTCATCAGGCATAGTCAGCACCTAGTACGCTGGGATTCCAGGGCAGTGAATGCATATTTGCTGAATAATGGCCAAACGAATGACTGAGTGAAGAGTGCCTACACAAGACGTTGATTGAGGTTGGAGTCCATGCTAGGTCAATGTCCAGAGAGACAAGGGCATGTAATGCTTTTGAGGTATTTGTCAGAACCTTACATTTGAGGCATATGTTCATATAGAAAAAATCCTACAGCAGAAGTCAAAGTTCATCAATTCTAGCTGTAATTACCAGCTTGTGTAATTTCAACCCACAGATTGTCTAGGCCTTATTAGTCTCAGTGTGACATAGGGAACTCAGGTAGAGGATGTAACAGGGCTTACAGTCATGTATTTATGACTGTATTTATGTATTCTTCATCAAACAACTACTGTGCAGTGCATCATGACCCATGGGTTTAAGAAGCTCAGAGTCTACACTGAGTGACAGGGAAGCGAAACAGACAAATGTGCAAGTGGTTCATCAAAGCACTACATTTGAAGTGGGGTCATGGGGCAAAATTCTGTAATTCACCATGACGACTCTGAAAAACTTGAAAATCCTATAATGTAATTATAACTAGGGCAAAGGTCATTTTAAATATTGGATGCAAAGTTGAGAAATGGTAAGAGAATGTAGGCCTATCCTGATGAAAAAAAAACTAGAAATTAAATGATGAGCACTCAGGGGAAGAGTTTAATGGTGGGACTGGAGAATGGAAAGAAAGTGGAATACTCTGATGGCACAGCAGATTCTCCTTCATCTGCTCTTCTGACTGGGACCACATGGGTGGGATAAGGGAAGAAGAGCAGCGGGCGTAGAAAAGGCAGGACAAGAGAGTGACTGTGAAGATCATGTTTCTGCCAGCAGCCAGGTCTGGGATTTGTTTTGTTTACCATATCTGAGAATTCTGCATGATCTTTGGATTACAGAACTTAACACAGTCTTTAGTTCACAGTTAGATTTTTTCCCCCCAAATGAGTAAATTAGAAAAACCTGTTCACTTGTCTGCTTGTTAAGGGCATCCCTAGGGATTTGCACTGAAAAACCGCTGCAGAGACGTGCGGAGAATTAATGACTCAAAGAAGATAAAATAGAAAGAGAAGATATCTATTATGTTCTCTCAACATGATGAAGACATCTTTGGAATATGCCCAGTATCAGATTAAAGGAACCCATATATGTGCTAACTTAGTACTTTAAAAAGATCCTAAAGAACCCTGTCCCATTTACTCGTTTGGAAGAAGTGACCATTACTTTATTTCTACAACAATAAGAATAGTAATCTGTATTGCAAAACTACTAGAAAAAACTCAAGACAAGTATTAAATTGTTCAGGGTGAATTTTTAAAACAATAAAGCATGCTAAGTTGTTTGCCACTTTCAACACTAGAAAGGCATTTAAGGTTTACTGTTCAAATTAATTTTGTTGGTCCAGCTCCTAACCATTCAAATTTCCAAAGACATTCACCTCACAAGGCAGTTTATTTTGGGCAATGAGAAGTTATTTACTTTGTATGAAATTTTCCTCAGTTGCTTTGTTTAGCAATGGGCATCATTAAGTAATCCATTATATTGAAATGGAGCATCTTGTATCATTTAGCAGTTATTGAAACACTGTGTTGTGTGTGGGCGGTTTATGGTTATGATAGAAGAGCCATGTTTCTGCTTTCAAATCAAAGGGAAAGATGTAATACTTGAAGTTGTAGCTGCAGGGATGGCCCATTTACAGTATTTTGGACAATGACAATTTTTGTAAGAAAGTCTGATGCTCAACAAGGTGGGTGGCATTTGGGGCAGAAGCTGGCTTCACCGATAAGGTTGAGAAGTCATCATTTGGTTCCTTCTCTTATTTTATTGTCTTTTAAGAATAGAAGTCTAATTCCATCTGGCCTCTTTCTGTTATCTGGCTTTGAGTGTCCATGCTGTGAGGCCCTTTCTTAATGGGTTGGGGAAGATTGTGCAGGACAAATGGCGTTGCTCATCAGCTTGGGGGATGAGGGTGGGTGTTGTGTGTGGAAGGCACTGTGCCTCTAGGATCTACTTCTGGGTAACATAGTGCAGATTTCTCAGATGGCATGGTCTTTCAGTGGATGCCATTATTTCTCTTTAGGATGAGAGGTGGGTGTCATCTGACTGGTGAATGTGAGACATTTGGGTCTATCTAGCTCTGCTTCTACCTTCCTCTCCATTCAGACTTCCTCCTGTGGGGCAGTTCCAGCCATGGTTTTCACATTGTGCCTTGAATAACAATTCCCTGTTAAAGCACAGGTGGATGCAGCTCAGAATTCCTAACAAGCTTGCATGCGACACTGAGGTTGCTGATCCTGGGATGAGGGTTTGAGAACTGCTCTACTGAGGTAAGATAAATGATTTTGACCTTGTCGTCTTAGCAAGTCAATTCATTTGCCAGATAAAGTCTAAGTAAAAGGAAAATGCTAGAAAACTCTTAAGGAGGGTGAAGAAATGGTCACCAAAACTCTTTGATATTTTTGGGAATTAGAATTAAACATGAGTCAAAGCAGGCTAAGAAAGCATACCACTCTAGCTTGTTAGTCACAACCAGAAGAATAACTACTTGCTTAGTGCAGCTTATGAAAAGGGTATAGAAAAGATGTATCTCTAAATGTGCCTTCTACATTTTCATCTTTGGGGAATATGTGTTTGAACTCCCACTGAATTACCTGGGTGGATCCAAATAAAAAAGAAATCCCTCAAATGAGAGAAGCAAAGGTTAACACTTGTAGAGCTATCTGCCTGATTGGTTATTTGCATTAAAAAGGATGCATAAGAGGTCCGTCTTCTACATGCTTCTACTTATAAATATAATGGAAGCTGTAAAATATAATAATCAAAATTAAATTTGTACTTAGTTATAGCTAGCATCACGGGAGAGTTATCTAGTTGATAATGCAATGCCCTTGGCCCCTTGGGAAGAGTTTTGTTAACTGAATCACTAGAGAAAAGACTACTTCTTTCTTTTGTCATGGCTGATAACAAACAACAACAGCAACAAATAAACTAAATCTATTTCCTGAATTTCAGGGTGTGGAATGTTTTTATTTGCCATATTCCTCTTGATTCAATCCTTGTATCATTTTTCAGAGTTTGAAGCTCACATGCATATGTATAATCTGAACCATATTCTCTCTCTCTCTCTCTCTCTCTCTCTCTCTCTCTCTCTCTCTGTGTGTGTGTGTGAGTGTGCCAGAGGTTGATGATGGGTGTCTTCCTCAATCCTTC